CTCTTTTCTATGGCCAGGCTGTGTTCACTCAGTCTGTATGTTGTCAACATTTTTCTTAGTTTAGGACATTTTATTGTACACAAGTAATTTTCCAGTGTGAATTCTCTTTTTAGGGTCAGATAACTTTGTGATTTACTTTGTGTTTTGGTCGTTTCTTTCCAGTATTCAATATATTTTTCTTTCTGCTTGCTGATAATTTGGTTTGGTCTGCTTGAGTTGGTGTTGCTGTCCTGAGGCTGTTGGGGACTTGTTACTTACTTGTTTCTCTCTCTCTGTCTGTCTGTCTCTCTGTCTTTCCGTCTCTCTCTGTCTCTTTGTCTTTGGATCCCTCAGTTTGTCCCTGAGTCGGCTCGTTACAACGTGTCTGCAGGAAACATTCAGGCGGCTCTAGAAACTCTGCAGAAGATCGCTAAAATGAACGGGGCGTCTCTTCCTCCGGGTCGACTGGTGGAGCCGGCTGTGGTGAGTTCACCTTCAGCGGCCACGCCCGACCTCCCTCCCTGATTCTGGGTGAAACGATTCCACAGAGAGTTTTCTAATGACTCCAGGAATCCTGAAGAACAAGCTCAGCCTGTTGGACTGCTGCTGGAAACCATTAAGCCAGCCTGTATTTAGGTTAAACCTTCATCTGAAGCGGGTCACAGACGGGCCTTTGTGTCTGTTCAGCATATTTAATTACACGTCCTTTGTGTTTCCCTGTTGTCCTGATGATGATGATGCAGGTGAGGTCATGTGATCTGGGTGTTTGTGTTGCAGAAAGAGCGAGGCAGCTGGAGGATTCTGCTCAGTCCGGTCTTCAGGAGGACGACCTTACTGCTCTGGTACTCATGGTAAGGTGGTCTGGCCTCGTGTTCACTGATCATGAGAGGGAGACGTGGACCAGCATGTAGCCAAGGTCCAGACAGGAAGCAGGAAAGAGTCAGATGACGATTATTTGGTGAACTGCAGCGTTACTCTAGTTCACTGAAAGTTCCCTGGTGATCCCAGTGACGCGCCGTCAGCTCTGAGGAGACCTGCACCTCCTAAAGTTAGTTATTTCAGATAAACACGGATTCTGACCGCCATCTTTCCCCCATCAGGTTCGTGGCGTCCTTCGCCTACTACGGCTCGGTGCTGAGCAGCTCGGAGCTGCTGGAGAAGAACTTGCTGTGTGTGACGGACGCAGATCAGGAGCATCAGATCAAACACCGCCAGCAGGACGGACTGTGCTACTGCATCCCCTTCGCTCTCAGCGACTACCAGACGCTGCTCATCAGCTCGCTGGGAGAGGTCGCACGTAAGTGATCCGTTTCTGACCTCTAACAGGTGAATCACCCTGATTAACTGGTTACCATGGCACCTCTCAGTGGGTGGGATATGTCGGGCAGCAGATCTCAGTCCAGTCCAGCATCTGTGGGATGTACTGGACAAACAAGTCCGATCCAACTTACAGGACTTAAAGGATCTGCTGCTAACGTCTTGGTGTCAGATATCAGAGCACTCCTTCAGAGGTCTAGTGGAGACCTGGTAAACGGCTCCAGATCACAGTAGAACCTGGTCATTTACTGTCCGCCATTTTATTGGCGACACAATATGGAATATACACTGCTCAAAAAAATAAAGGGAACACTTAAACAACACAGTGTAACTCCAAGTCAATCACATTCCTGTGAAATCAAACTGTCCACTTAGGAAGCAACACTGATTGACAATCAATTTCACATGCTGTTGTGCAACTGGAAAAGACAACAGGTGGAAATTATAGGCAATTAGCAAGACACCCCCGATAAAGGAGTGGTTCTGCAGGTGGTGACCACAGACCACTTCTCAGTTCCTGTGCTTCCTGGCTGATGTTTTGGCGCTGCTTTCACTCTAGTGGTAGCACGAGACGGAGTCTACAACCCACACAAGTGGCTCAGGTAGTGCAGCTCATCCAGGATGGCACATCAATGCGAGCTGTGGCAAGAAGGTTTGCTGTGTCTGTCAGCGTAGCGTCCAGAGCACGGAGGCGCTACCAGGAGACAGGCCAGTACATCAGGAGACGTGGAGGAGGCCGTAGGAGGGCAATGACCCAGCAGCAGGACCGCTACCTCCGCCTTTGTGCAAGGAGGAGCAGGAGGAGCACTGCCAGAGCCCTGCAAAATGACCTCCAGCAGGCCACAAATGTGCACGTGTCTGCTCAAACGGTCAGAAACAGACTCCATGAGGGTGGTACGAGGGCCCGACGTCCACAGGAGGGGGTTGTGCTTACAGCCCAACACCGTGCAGGACGTTCGCCAGAGAACACCAAGATTGGCAAATTCGCCACTGGCGCCCTGTGCTCTTCACAGATGAAAGCAGGTTCACACTGAGCACATGTGACAGACGTGACAGAGTCTGGAGACGCTGTGGAGAACGTTCTGCTGCCTGCAACATCCTCCAGCATGACCGGTTTGGAGGTGGGTCAGTAATGGTGTGGGGTGGCATTTCTTTGGGGGGCCGCACAGCCCTCCATGTGCTCGCCAGAGGTAGCCTGACTGCCATTAGGTACCGAGATGAGATCCTCAGACCCCTTGTGAGACCATATGCTGGTGCGGTTGGCCCTGGGTTCCTCCTAATGCAACACAATGCTAGACCTCATGTGGCTGGAGTGTGTCAACAGTTCCTGCAAGAGGAAGGCATTGATGCTATGGACCGGCCCGCCCGTTCCCCAGACCTGAATCCAACTGAGCACATCTGGGACATCATGTCTCGCTCCATCCACCAACGCCACGTTGCACCACAGACTGCTTTAGTCCAGGTCTGGGAGGAGGTCCCTCAGGAGACCATCCGCCACCTCATCAGGAGCCCAGGCGTTGTAGGGAGGTCATGCAGGCACGTGGAGGCCACAAACACTACTGAGCCTCATTTTGACTTGTTTTAAGGACATCAAAGTTGGATCGGCCTGTAGTTTGGTTTTCCACTTTGATTTTGAGTGTGACTCCAAATCCAGACCTCCATGGGTTGATAATTTGATTTCCATGATAATTTTTGTGTGATTTTGTTGTCAGCGTATTCAACTATATAAAGAAAGGAGTATTTAATGAGATTATTTCATTCATTCAGATCTAGGATGTGTTATTTTAGTGTTCCCTTTATTTCTTTGAGCAGTGCATTATTTTCCTGAATGAGTAAATGAGCCAGTATGATATTTCTGTCTCAGTGGGTTAATTGTGTGCTCTGGATCTACTTTTAGGACTTGTGTGCTAATGTTAGGGTTCCAGTGTGGCACAGACCTGATCCTCTCCTCTTCTGTCCCCCCAGTGGTCCCGTTAAACATCTGCATGCTGAACATCTGGGGACGGAAGATCAGTCTGATGGTGCTGCAGCTGCTGTCGGCCATTTTGTTCATGTTGGTCAACATCTGCACCACCATGTAAGAACTTTAGAGACGACTTCTGGAAACAGGTTTATAAAGTCCTCCCGTCTCACTGTGTGCAGGTTTATGAGGACCTCCTGTGTGACTGGGTCCAGGTTTATGTGGTCCTTGAGTCTAACTGGGTCCAGGTTTATAAAGACCTCCTGTCCCTGTTTATCTCTCCAGGTTTGGGTTCACGGTGTTGCTGTTCCTGCTCCGGTCTCTGGTCTCCATGAACTTTAATGTGGTTTATATTTACACCGCTGAGGTAAGTCTAAGTCTGCTGGTTTTAGTGGAGGTGTGTATTGATCCAGGTCTCAGGTAACAGGTGTTCTTTGTCTCTCAGGTGTATCCCACTGTGGCTCGGTCTCTGGGGATGGGCTTCTGTACGTCGTTCAGTCGTATCGGAGGAATGATCGCTCCGTTCATCGCTCAGGTGGGTTCACCGTCCTGACCAGAATCCCCTCAGGTGAGTCTTCAGGTGTTTCTGCTGCTGACGTCACTCTGTGTGTCCTTCAGGTGTTGATGTCTCAGTCAGTGATTCAGGCTCTCACTCCGTTCGCTGTGGCCTGTGGAGTCTGCGCTATCGGAAACTTTCTGCTGCCTATAGAAACTAAAGGACGAGCTCTGCTGGTGAGAAACGCATCGCTGTTTCTTCTTTGTACAAAACTTTATTTTAACTTTGTACAAACTTTATTTCCTCTTTGTACAAACTTTATACAAACTTTATTTTAACTTTGTACAAACTTTATTTTAACTTTGTACAAACTTTATTTCCTCTTTGTACAAACTTTATACAAACTTTATTTTAACTTTGTACAAACTGTATTTCCTCTTTGTACAAACTGTATTTCCTCTTTGTACAAACTTTATTTTAACTTTGTACAAACTTTATTTTAACTTTGTACAAACTGTATTTCCCCTTTGTACAAACTTTATACAAACTTTATTTCAACCTTGTACAAACTGTATTTCCTCTTTGTACAAACTTTATACAAACTTTATTTCAACCTTGTACAAACTTTATTTCCTCTTGGGACAAACTTTATTTCCTCTTGGGACAAACTTTATTTTAACTTTGTACAAACTTTTTTTTAACTTTATTTCCTCTTTGTACAAACTTTATTTCCTCTTTGTACAAACTTTATTTTAACTTTGTACAAACTTTTTTTTAACTTTATTTCCTCTTTGTACAAACTTTATTTCCTCTTTGTACAAACTTTATTTTAACTTTGTACAAACTTTTTTTTAACTTTATTTCCTCTTTGTACAAACTTTATTTTAACTTTTCCTCTTTGTACAAACTTTATTTTAACTTTGTACAAACTTTATTTCCTCTTTGTACAAACTTTATTTTTACTTTGTACAAACTTTTTTTTAACTTTATTTCCTCTTTGTACAAACTTTATTTTAACTTTTCCTCTTTGTACAAACTTTATTTCCTCTTTGTACAAACTTTATTTCCTCTTTGTACAAACTTTATTTTAACTTTGTACAAACTTTTTTTTAACTTTATTTCCTCTTTGTACAAACTTTATTTTAACTTTTCCTCTTTGTACAAACTTTATTTCCTCTTTGGACAAACTTTATTTCCTCTTGGACAAACTTTATTTTAACTTTGTTTCCCCTTTGTACAAACTTTGTTTTCTCTTTGTACAAACTTTATTTTAACTTTTCCTCTTTGTACAAACTTTATTTTAACTTTATTTCCTCTTTGTACAAACTTTATTTTAACTTTGTTTCCCCTTTGTACAAACTTTGTTTTCTCTTTGTACAAACTTTATTTGAACTTTTCCTCTTTTACAAACTTTATTTTAACTTTGTTTCCTCTTTGTACAAACTTTATTTTAGTTTTATTTTAACTTTGTACAAACTTTGTACAAACTGTATTTCCTCTTTGTAAAAACTGTATTTCCTCTTTGTACAAACTTTATACAAACTTTATACAAACTTTATTTCAACAATGTACAAACTTTATTTCCTCTTTGTACAAACTTTATTTTAACTTTGTACAAACTTTATTTCCTCTTTGTACAAACTGTATTTCCTCTTTGTACAAACTTTATTTCCTCTTTGTACAAACTTTATTTTAACTTTGTTTCCTCTTTGGACAAACTTTATTTTAACTTTTCCTCTTTGTACAAACTTTATTTTAACTTTATACAAACTGTATTTCCTCTTTGTACAAACTTTATTTTAACTTTGTACAAACTGTATTTCCCCTTTGTACAAACTTTATACAAACTTTATTTCAACCTTGTACAAACTGTATTTCCTCTTTGTACAAACTTTATACAAACTTTATTTCAACCTTGTACAAACTTTATACAAACTTTATTTCAACCTTGTACAAACTGTATTTCCTCTTTGTACAAACTTTATACAAACTTTATTTCAACCTTGTACAAACTTTATTTCCTCTTGGGACAAACTTTATTTCCTCTTGGGACAAACTTTATTTTAACTTTGTACAAACTTTTTTTTAACTTTATTTCCTCTTTGTACAAACTTTATTTCCTCTTTGTACAAACTTTATTTTAACTTTGTACAAACTTTTTTTAACTTTATTTCCTCTTTGTACAAACTTTATTTCCTCTTTGTACAAACTTTATTTTAACTTTGTACAAACTTTTTTTTAACTTTATTTCCTCTTTGTACAAACTTTATTTTAACTTTTCCTCTTTGTACAAACTTTATTTTAACTTTGTACAAACTTTATTTCCTCTTTGTACAAACTTTATTTCCTCTTTGTACAAACTTTATTTTTACTTTGTACAAACTTTTTTTTAACTTTATTTCCTCTTTGTACAAACTTTATTTTAACTTTTCCTCTTTGTACAAACTTTATTTCCTCTTTGTACAAACTTTATTTCCTCTTTGTACAAACTTTATTTTAACTTTATTTCCTCTTTGTACAAACTTTATTTTAACTTTTCCTCTTTGTACAAACTTTATTTCCTCTTTGGACAAACTTTATTTCCTCTTGGACAAACTTTATTTTAACTTTGTTTCCCCTTTGTACAAACTTTGTTTTCTCTTTGTACAAACTTTATTTTAACTTTTCCTCTTTGTACAAACTTTATTTTAACTTTATTTCCTCTTTGTACAAACTTTATTTTAACTTTGTTTCCCCTTTGTACAAACTTTGTTTTCTCTTTGTACAAACTTTATTTGAACTTTTCCTCTTTTACAAACTTTATTTTAACTTTGTTTCCTCTTTGTACAAACTTTATTTTAGTTTTATTTTAACTTTGTACAAACTTTGTACAAACTGTATTTCCTCTTTGTAAAACTGTATTTCCTCTTTGTACAAACTTTATACAAACTTTATACAAACTTTATTTCAACAATGTACAAACTTTATTTCCTCTTTGTACAAACTTTATTTTAACTTTGTACAAACTTTTTTTTAACTTTATTTCCTCTTTGGACAAACTTTATTTTCTCTTTGGACAAACTTTATTTTAACTTTGTTTCCTCTTTGGACAAACTTTATTTTAACTTTCCTCTTTGTACAAACTTTATTTTAACTTTATACAAACTTTATTTCCTCTTTGTACAAACTTTATTTTAACTTTGTACAAACTTTATTTCCTCTTTGTACAAACTTTATTTTAACTTTGTACAAACTTTATTTTAACTTTGTACAAACTTTATTTCCTCTTTGTACAAACTTTATTTTAACTTTGTACAAACTTTTTTTTAACTTTGTTTTCTTCTTGTACAAACTTTATTTTAACTTTTTCCAAACTTTATTTAAACTTTGTACAAACCTTTTTAACTTTGTTTCCTCTTCCTGCAAACTGTATTTTAACTTTTTTCCTCTTTGTACAAACCTTATTTTAACTTTAATTTAACTTTGTTTATTCCTCTTTTTTTCAGCAAAACTCCTGATGACTTCTCCAAACAAAGTGTCTGTTACTGTTTGTCGTTTTATCGTTGTTAAGTCTGAAATATGAAGATATTAAATGTGTTACTGACATCAGCTTGTCCTGTTCATCATTACGAGACATCGAACCCACTCTGCTGGATGTTTCTCAGACGTTTGTGACTGAGTGTGAGAATGTGGGGAGGTGATTGACATGGTGTTAGAGGCTGCTCCTGGCTCTGATTTGTTGTTTTGATCATCAGGAGCCTGATCACCTGTCTCGGGTACTGCAGTCAGAATACAGGGACAGTTTCAGCAAATATAACCGTCATTTCTTTCTCTGCTGCAGCTTTAAAGTGTTTTTTAAAATGTTTTTTAGATTTTCTTTTACAGACCCAATAGATTTCTAAATATAGTGCTCTACCAATGGTTCAGATATTGCCTATGATGAAAAGACCAAATACATGTAAATATAAAAAAAACGTTAGAAAACATCAAGTAACATGGTTCATTTTTGCGGAAATAAATACAAACATACAGTAAAAAATCATTGTGATATAATGTTTTTATAAATATATATGAATATGATATTAAATGTGAATGTTTTTGAGTCATTTTATTTCACAAAAATTGTAAATTTATTATCTTCATCACTACCTGTAAATGACAACTCAACCGTTTTGGTCCAGCAGGTTTCTAAACATTACAAAATCATAATATGCTGAAATAATTTCATAATGTCTACAAGAAAGAAGTTTAGAATTTTGTAGTAAGTACTCAGTGGAGGCTTTGCTGTAACGAGGTGAACTGAAAAAGCTTACCTTCCAAAGACACAGTACAACAAAACTAGTACACCAGGACATTAAAGGGGGATTATGACATGTTGACTGACCTGATGATGGCGCTACAGTTCATCCTGAGGGGGGACATGAAGGTCTGAAGCACATTTAATCACTATCCATCCAACAGAGAGCCCTACAGTCAGACATCAACACCACCTGCAGAGAATAAACCCTGTTATTCAGGTCAGACGATGCAGGAGCTTCAGTGTAGTGGCTCTGACAGCCTGATGGTGGCACTGCTGAGTCTGCAGACGAGGATGATCTCTGGCTCCTGAACTGCTTACCTTAATCCCATTAGCTCAGACACTCAGATTACAGATTACTGTCTGTCCACAGGGGGCGGGCCTCCATTGACCCCGCCCCCTGACCTCAGACTGTGTGTGTGTGTGTGATTAAAGTGGATTTAGACGTTGACTGGCAGCAGATGAAGATGGACGGCAGCTCTGAGAGACGTGAGTACTGATTTACCTCTGAACATTAGATCTGTGATTCAGCAGATCAGTTTACTCACAGGGTCAGGGTCTTTAATAAACCTGTTCTAGATCAGTTTACTCACAGGGTCAGGGTCTTTAATAAACCTGTTCTAGATCAGTTTACTGACAGGGTCAGGGTCTTTAATAAACCTGTTCTAGATCTGCTGACAGGACCAGGGTCTTTAATAAACCTAGATCAGTTTACTGACAGGGTCAGGGTCTCGTCCTCCTGTCCTGGCAGATCGTGTTCCAGGTCTGTTCTTCACCTTTAGAGGTAGAAACATTAACAGGATTCTGTATTGTCTCATTTACTCTAGTAATAATATTAAATATTATAAATACACAGAAGAAACATACTGCCTCTCGTCATTACTTTGTGTTTCATTTTTACTGGTTTGTGTCGTTGGCCTGAGTTCCTGTTCTGGTTCTGGTCTCTGTGAGTCTGCCTGAAGGACTGTGTGTGTGTGCGTTGGTGCTTGGTACTGATGGATCTGTTCTGAATGAACCTCTTTGTTTCTGTTCACACTGACTGTGAACATGTCGGTCATGTGACCTGGACACAGTGACTTCATTATGACACGTGCTAAAAGCTGCAGCTGCCAGCTGCACGTCAGGAAGCAAAAGTTGTTTCCAGAATTTTGTAGTTGAATCTCAGCTCAAGGTCCACTAGCTTTTGACCGAATCACACCGTCTTCAACTGCAGACTGTTTGAGCTGCTGTTATTTAAGGTTGGATGATGTTTAAAGACATCAGACTGAGTTACCTTTTCAGGTGTTCTGATGAAACAGATACCACCATGTTAGAAGTCTAAGCACTCAGGATTACAGTACAGACATGTTATCATCAAGAAGTACTACTACTCCTAATACGCATAATATTTTATCAGTTGATCACAGATGCTTCATATGTTATATTTAACTAATAATCCAGCTATTCAATGAATGTCTGCTGTAAAAATTACAATATCTAGTATTGTAGAAAGTCATAAAGTGAAAATATTCAATTGATAAAGAAAAGTAAAAGTACGTCACATTTGTACTTCAGAAAATCCATTTCTGTTGCTCCTGTGGACAGAACAGGTGTGTTTTAAATGACAGAGCAGGACGTCTGGACGTCGTCTTTATTACATGTTTGACTGGTTCATGAATGTGAAGCAGCATTTTAATGTTGTGAACACAAATTCTCTTCCCCTTGATGTTCGCAGTAGCGACTGTTTGTTGACTTTTAAAACGCGTCTTAAGACACATCTTTTTATACAAGCTTTTTTATAACATGTTGTACTGAGTTTTTAATGCATTTTATCTGTATGCGGCTTGTTTGTTGTGTGTATTGTTTTATGCAGTGATGAGTGATGAGTGAGGTGACCTTGGGTGTTATGAAAGGCGCCATTAAATAAGATGCATTATTATTATTATTATTATTATTAGATACTTTCTGTTGTTGGGTAGTAGAAGTACCTGAAAGTAGGTTAATGGTTCAGTTTATTGATCCATTACAACATAAAAAGTACTGACAAAGCAACGCTGATACAAAATACAGGAAATAAATACCCATATATACTACAGTATGTAGCAGTACTGTGTAAAAGTACTGCAATTGAGTACATGTACATAATTACCTTAACAGATCTGTGCAACGTTTCAGGGTGAATCTTCTCTCTGACGACCTGGAGTCTGCCAGTGACATTATCAGCAGGTGACTCCCTTCCCATGGTGCCCTGCAGCCTCCGGGGTCGCCATGGGAGACGAGTCTTACCCAGAATGCCGAGCTCAGGAGCTGTTTGACGAGTTTGTGTCGGCGTCGACCTGCAGGGCGACGCTGAGGTCCTTCAGCCAGCTGTGTGACCATCTGCAGCTGGACCAGAGCGCCGCCGAGAGGCCTCTGTACCGGACCATCAAGTGCCGCCTCAACTACTGGAGGGCCAACGCTCTGTGGGCCAAACTGGACCGAAGGGCCGGCCAGCAGGAGTACCAGAGGGCCCGGGTCTGCAGCAACACCACCGTATGTTCATATATGCTGTGGTGACATCACAGTGATGTCACTGCAGGTGTAAAGGTGCTGCTAAGTTCCTTTTTTCGAGGCTAACCGTCTCGTTTAAAATAAAGTAGAGCAACCAGTTAGCTTTGATCAGGGAACTATAAATTAGTAGAACAGCCCTTTAAGAAAACCACTGAGGGCCTCTGATTGGTCACCTGATGTCTTCTCTCTCTCTGATTGGTCAGTGCGTGATTATCGGGGCGGGGCCCTGTGGTTTGAGGACGGCGGTGGAGCTGAGCTTCATGGGAGCTCGGGTGGTGCTGCTGGAGAAGAGAGACTCCTTCTCCAGGAACAACGTGCTCCACCTGTGGCCCTTCACCATCCACGACCTGCGGGGCCTCGGGGCCAAAAAGTTCTACGGGAAGTTCTGTGCCGGCTCCATCGACCACATCAGTGAGTCTGTGATCCGTCACTCTTGTACGATCTGAACAGCTGGATCCTCCAAACAGCACCACCTGTTTCCTGTCTGCAGGTATCCGTCAGCTGCAGCTGGTCCTCTTGAAGGTCGCCTTACTGCTAGGGGTCCAAGTCCACGTCAACGTGGAGTTTAAGAACCTGGTGGAGCCGCCGGAGGATCAGCACAGGCACAGTGAGAACATTGGTTCTTTTGATCAGCAGCTGGTTTCTGGGATTGATTATTAAAACTAGAGAAAACTTTCTGCAGCTTAAGAGTTAAAACTGTCAGGTGACCTGTTCAGTTGAAGAGTAAGAGATGTAAGCAAGCTCTTTGTCTACCTGCTTCCTTTTTCACCCACGTACCTGTCTGCATGTCCACCTGTCTGCAGAGGTGGGCTGGAGGATGGAGGTGAGTCCAAAGTCTCATCCTCTCAATCAGCTGGAGTTTGATGTCATCATTGGAGCAGACGGACGCAGGAACACACTACCAGGTACGCCGACATCCTGAAGTCCAGCTTACTCTGGTGAAAGCTAAGAAAGACTCGACTGCTGAGTCTGAAGTCAGGGACAGACACGGCTGAAGAGGATAAACCCTCTGACTGTCTCTCAACGTGACCTTTTGGAGTATTCTATCTTGCTCAAGAAATATTTATGTTTTCATGTTAAATTCAGTCTTATAATCTGATATGATTACAGTGTTAAGAACAGTAAACTTAAAACCTTCCCCCTGACAGTGGTCCCAGTAATCTCCCTTTAACCGTCTGAACAGGTTTCAGGCGTAAAGAATTCAGAGGGAAGCTGGCCATCGCCATCACAGCCAACTTTAAAAACAGAAACACCACCGCTGAGGCCAAAGTGGAGGAGATCAGCGGGGTGGCTTTCATCTTCAACCAGAGGTTCTTTCAGGAACTACGGCAGGAAACTGGTATGACATCATATCCTGTCCGGTTTCATGTGCTGAGGAACAGAAATGTATTAACCATCATGTTCTTACATTTCTTTCAGGGATCGATCTGGAGAACATTGTGTACTACAAAGATGACACTCACTACTTTGTAATGACGGCAAAGAAACAGAGTCTGTTGGAGAAGGGGGTCATCATCCAGGTAAACTCACACACCTAGAACAGAGCAACACAGACTGAGAGAACAGAGACGAGATCAGAGAAAAATCGAGCATGCCGTTAGATCAGGCAGGCAACGAAATCAAGCTCAGCTCTCAATCATAGGATAGGAGCCCATGTCATGTCAAGCCCACATCAGCTGACAGCTCAGCTGATTTCCCTCCTAGCATTCATTGGCAAAGCCATACAAGGCGCCGAATTTAAGCCACCAGCCTGCTTGTAACCCGCCGCCTCCAAGCCACATGCTCCGATAGGCATGTGGAAGGGCAGGGAGGTGCTCTCCCCGCCTCAGGGATGACGTCCCAGAACAGTCACAACGCCAAACTACTGCAAGCAAATAAAGTGTTTGATGAAGTTCTGACTGAAATACCTGGTCCTCCTCCATCAGGATTTTGCAGACACCGCGCAGCTCCTCTCTCGTGGGAACGTAGATCAGAATGCGTTGCAAGCATATGCCCGCGAGGCAGCCAACTTCTCCACCAATCACCAGCTGCCATCGCTGGACTTCGCCATAAATCACTACGGTCAGCCGGACGTCGCCATGTTCGATTTCACCTGCATGTACGCATCAGAGAACGCCGCAATGGTTCGTCAGCGACACGGACACCAGCTGCTGGTCACACTTGTGGGGGACAGTCTGCTGGAGGTGAGACAGGTGGAGAGACAGTCAAAAGAGACTCATAAAAGTTCAAAAATTAAATTCTGAGGTGATTATGTGTGTGCGTCCTTCCTCCTGTCTGTCTTCCTGTCTGTCTTCCTCTCTGTCCTCCTGTCTGTCTTCCTGTCTGTCTTCCTCTTTGTCCTCCTGTCTATCCTCCGGTCTGTCCTCCTCTATGTCTTCCTCTCTGTCCTCCTGTCTGTCTATCCTCCTGTCTGTCCTCCTGTCTGTCTTCCTGCCTGTCCTCTTGTATGTCCTGCTGTCTGTCCTCCTGTGTGTCCTGCTGTCTGTCTTCCTGTCTGTCTTCCTGTCTGTCCTCCTGTCTGTCTTTCTGTCTGTCCTCTTGTGTGTCCTCCTCTCTGTCCTGCTGTCTGTCTTCCTGTCTGTCCTGCTGTATGTCTTCTTCTCTGTCCTGCTCTCTGTCTTCCTGTCTGTCCTCCTGCCTTTCCTGCTCTCTGTCTTCCTGTCTATCCTGCTGTCTGTCTTCCTGTCTGTACTGCTGTCTCTCCTCCTGTCTGTCCTGCTCTCTGTCTTCCTGTCTGTCCTCCTGCCTGTCCTGCTCTCTGTCTTCCTGTCTGTCCTGCTGTCTGTCTTCCTCTCTGTACTGCTGTCTGTCCTCCTGTCTGTTTGTCTTCCTGTCTGTCCTCCTGCCTGTCCTGCTGTCTGTCTTCCTGTCTGTCTTCCTCTCTGTCCTGCTGTCTGTCTTCTTGTCTGTCCTCCTGTCTGTCTTCCTGTCTGTCCTCTTGTGTGTCCTCCTGCCTGTCCTGCTTTCTGTCTTCCTCTCTGTCCTCTTGTGTGTCCTCCTGCCTGTCCTGCTGTCTGTCTTCCTCTCTGTCCTGCTGTCTGTCTTCTTGTCTGTCTTCCTGTCTGTCCTCCTGCCTGTCCTGCTCTCTGTCTTCCTGTCTGTCCTGCTGTCTGTCTTCCTCTCTGTACTGCTGTCTCTCCTCCTGTCTGTCCTGCTCTCTGTCTTCCTGTCTGTCCTGCTGTCTGTCTTCCTCTCTGTACTGCTGTCTCTCCTCCTGTCTGTCTGTCTTCCTGTCTGTCCTCTTGTGTGTCCTCCTGCCTGTCCTGCTTTCTGTCTTCCTCTCTGTCCTCTTGTGTGTCCTCCTGTCTGTCCTGCTGTCTATCTTCCTGTCTGTCTTCCTGCCTGTCCTCCTGCCTGTCCTGCTGTCTGTCTTCCTCTCTGTCCTGCTGTCTGTCTTCTTGTCTGTCTTCCTGTCTGTCCTGCTGTCTGTCTTCCTCTCTGTACTGCTGTCTCTCCTCCTGTCTGTCCTGCTCTCTGTCTTCCTGTCTGTCCTCCTGCCTGTCCTGCTCTCTGTCTTCCTGTCTGTCCTGCTGTCTGTCTTCCTCTCTGTACTGCTGTCTCTCCTCCTCTCTGTCCTCCTGTCTGTCCTGCTGTCTGTCTTCCTCTCTGTCCTCCTGTCTGTCTGCAGCCCTTCTGGCCGATGGGGACAGGAATAGCTCGAGGGTTTCTGGCAGCTCTGGATTCAGCCTGGATGATACGAAGTTGGGCCCAAGGCGGAGCTCCTCTGGACATCCTGGCAGACAGGTAAACAGTACATGCACACCTGAACATGAAACACCTGCTGCTATCAGAGACAGGTGATCTGTGGTCCGGTAGTGCCGACATGTCTGTATCTCTGTCCCTCAGAGAGAGTGTGTACCGTCTCCTCGCTCAGACGACTCCAGAAAACCTGCAGAAGAACTTCAGTCTGTTTACAGTCGATCCAGCGACCAGATACCTGAACATCAACCGTTTGCTCACAACACCTGCTCAGGCACACACGCATCACTTTCACACTCATGTCCTGGAGATGTACCGTAACCACTACCTGCCTAATCCTGAACCCTAACCAGGTCTTTACTCTAAAGTTGGAGTGGTTTTCTTCTTCTTACAGGTGAGACATCTGGTGGACACTGGAGAAGAGGCGGGGCTAAACACAGACTGTGGTGACATCACCCGTGTGCCGTCACCCAGATTCCCCAGACAGAGTGAGTTCAGGTCGTCTTCCTGTTTGTTACAACTCGCACTTTAGTTTCAGTAACGCTGTTATATCTCGTCCTCTCTGATAGGTTCTTTCTCTCAGTCCAATAAGCTGCTGAGTTGGTGTCAGGAGCAGACTCGTGGTTATCGCGGTGTTGACGTTAGAGACCTGACTACTTCCTGGAAGAGTGGCCTCGCTCTCTGTGCCCTGATTCATCGATATCGACCTGATCTGATGTAAAACTGATAATCAGCTGATAAAGATAATTCACTGAAACTGATCAAACTTCCCATCTTTCCGTCTTCACATGTTCTTGACATGTCGTCTGCCTGACTTCCTGTCTGTCCTCAGTGACTTTGAGTCTCTGGATGAGTCGTCGGTGGAAGAAAACACTCGTCTGGGCTTCGACGTGGCTGAACGGGAGTTTGGGATTTCTCCTCTGATGACGGTGGAAGAAATGTCGTCTGTAGGAGAACCGGACTCTCTGTCTGTGGTGATGTACCTGAGTCAGTTCTACCAGCTGCTCAAAGACACACCGCCCCCTGCTGGTGAGACTCCACATCTCCTGAAATCACACTGGACAAGACTGTTTAACCCAAAAAAGAAAAAGTGAAAACAGACTAATGATAAAACAAGTCCTGCACGCAGACAGTGATTCTAAACAAAGAGAAAATACTGTTGAAAGAACAGATTGAAACTTAAAAAGTTAGACTTCCACGACTTCCTGAGCTGCCTGTGTGACGTTTAAGCTCCCAAGTGCCTTCCCTCCCGCTCCCCTACAGCGCCAACAGTGTGCAACGCTAGCTAACATTAGCTTAGAAATGGAGTGCGCTAACGTCAATAAACAACCGCCACCCACCACAACACAGCGTACGACGTCAAAGCTAACCTTGTGAAATACACTGTGGCTTTAGCTGGCACCATGCAGCATGGCTGGGTTGCAGCTAGCTGGCTAGCCTTAGTTTGTTTGCTAGCTAACATTATCGCTAGCAAAATACTGTCTTGAGTGCATAATTGAGGTGGGTTAGGTCCAAGCTCGGCTCGTGCAGCTCTTCCTGGGCCCATCGTAGCGGTGGCGTTTGGTCCGGCTGGTCTGGTGCTCAGAAGAAGTCTGTGGCGGTCTTAGGGTCCGCTGCTCTAAATCCAATTCCTGCGCTTCCTTTTCCGACGTTGACCAGTGTACTTCTGTCCCACACAGCCCTGGCCCAATTTAACCCATGAAAATCAACAATAGCTTTCTACTAGCTCAGAGCGATGCAAGGCCGGGCCAACCTTAGCTTAGCTTAGCTTACAGTTAGCTAGTTGGCTAACTTTTGGCTTTAAGAAAAAAGACATTTAATCGAATAAAAACTTACAGAAAAAGACTGAAGAAGACTGTAAAATTTGTGCAAAACATTCCTTAGCAAAGAAAAAGACAAAAGACTCCAAATTAGTCTTAAAAATTATTTTTGTTATTATTATTATTAAAACAGTTTTCAGTGAGGAACTGCACAGATTCAAAGACTGATCTGAGATAAAAGCAGGTCCAACATGTAGACTTCCTCAGCATGTGATAAGATGATGATTCCCCTCTTGTTCAGTTTCAGGTTGTCTGAGTCAGAGTTCTGACCTGAGATCAGCTCTCATCACTCCGGCCTCCCTCCTCAGCAGACTGGGACTCAGCCCATCCAGAAAGAGGAACCCAAAGGTCTCTGTGGTTCTTCATCATTCTCAAGTTCGTTATTTGTCACATGCACAACATGTTCTCCTCAACAATGCTCATGCTAAACAGTGGTGCCCTTTGCACAGTAGTGCTGGGATGATGATGATGATGATGATGATGATGTAGTACATGTTAGTTTAACAGTTGTAGTATAATATAAATACGTGTACTGTGATGTGTGCAGGTCTAAACAGGTAGGTCCCTGTTGAGCCTGCTCTGTCTGCCTTTGTGGTGGTGTTGCTGTGGCAAGTCCAGGTCAGGTCCTCGCTGATGTGGACCCAAAGGAACATAAAGCTTTTGATCCTCCCCACGATATCCCGCTGAGGGAAAGGGGGAATGTCTGTCCCTGTTGTCCACAATCAGCTCCTTTGTTTTGCTGACGTTGAGATGGAAGTTCAGGATCCAGTCACAGGGGGCACTGTGGAGTCCCAGGTCTCTGAGCTTGGTGACAAGCTCGGAGCCCACAGAGGTGTGAACTGTCCAGCTGGGAGTCTGGGGGGTTAGGGTGGAGGTGTCGTGAGTCAGGGAGGGAGGAGGTGATGAAGGTTTTGACTAACCCCTCAAAGCACTTCATGATGGTGGAGGTGAGGGCTGCTGGGTGGAAGTCGGTCAGAGTGGTCGGGACCTTTTGGGGACAATGGTAGTAGGTCTTTAAACATGGGGACAACAGACCGGAGCAGTGACGGATTGGAAACGTCTGTGAAGACCTCCAACCGTTGAGAGCTCGGCCAGGTATGCCATCAGGTCCAGGTGACTTGTTTGATGCTGTTGAAGGATCTACACACGTCGGCGGGCAGGGGTCCGGGGTCGGGGGCCTTTGTTCCTCCTTCTTGTTTGTGGATTGTGGTTAAAAGTGTTGTTGTGGATGATATGACAGACAAATATGGCGCTCGAGACAGCCTCAGTCTGTCTTTCTGTCCTGTTTGCTGTTAACCTCTGGGCGTCTCTACAGGAGCAGAAAGACGCTCGGGGTAAAAGGAGGAAGACCAGCGGGCCGTGTCGAGAGCAGCAGGAGGTCAGTGTTCCACCACAGTTTGTTTCTTATGACAAAAGATTCACAAAGAAAAAACCTTTGAATTAAAGAAAAGGTTTACAAGATGGAAAGAAAATGAACAAAAAGAAACGTTTTAAATGAATAAATGCAGCGATGAGAGGAACTCTTCTGAACCACAAATATATTCCCAGATTTAGTGCTCAGGTCAGTGTTCGGCTTCATGAAGATAAAGGTCAGCTGTTCGTCTCCATGTTTCCTGTTTAAATAAAGTTTTTGTTTCCAGTCATGTGACCGCAACGGGGATGTCGACCGCCAGGAGTATGAAGAGGCGTTTGTGGGCGGGTCCAGTCGCTCCAGAGTGCGTCTGATGGCCAATCAGCTGCAGGCGAAGCTGGACGAGAGCTCTACTTCCTGCAGGAGTTCTTCTTCTGCTGCTGCAGCTTTACGCCGCCAGGTGAGGTCACAGCGACGTCACACAGACAGGTGTCTGATCCAGGATCAATAATATTTCACCTCCAGCCCATCAGATCAGGCTGCTGCAGTTTATTTAATGAATGTTTGAGTGTGTGACAGCGTCAGAGTCCTGCAGCTGATTTATTGAGCTATCAGACAGCAGCTGTAAAAGCTCTAGATGTCACATCACAGATAAGAATGATTTGATCATTGATAACGCTGTGTGTGACTCCGGCCAGCAGGGGGAGCTGTTGTCCAGCCTTTCCCCCCCGCCACAGTCTCCGGACCCTCAGCCGGCTGCAGATCCGCTTCACACGTCGTCATGGAGACCGGTAAAGATTGGTAGTCAGTAGAAACCAGTAGAAACAGATGAAGCCTCGTTCTTCTCCTCTCTGCTCAGTGACCTCACCTGTCAGATGAAAATTTAAAGTCTCAGAAACATTTAACCTTTCAGCTCTGAGCTCAGGATGAGCTTCACTCTTTACTGTTTTACACTTACAGAACTTAAATGAAACAGATACTTCCTGAAAGTCCACCAGACCTGAGTGGAAGCTTCCTGAGGATTTTACAGAAACAGATTAAAACAGTTTTTAGATTCAACATGAAACTGGGTCCACTGGATCAGGTCCCAGGTGTAACGCTGCAGTGATGGAGGCTTCATATTATACTGATCATACAGTCAGTAATACAGAGCCAGTCAGAAGGTTTATAACAGCCGCCATGTTTGTAGTTCTTCTGTAAGTCTCAGTAGTTCATGTCCAGTGAAAAACCTTCAATGGAACAAAATAATGAACCAAACTCCTTCATTTAATTGTTCATTTCAGATCTGAAATGTCTGTTTTGGTGACGGAAATGTTGTTTTTAACTGTTGTTCCATTGAAGGTTTTTCACTGGACTGTACATGTAGTGGGGTAGAAGTATAAAGTAACAGAAAATACTGCATTCAGAGTACTTGTACACATGTAAACGTCCGTCTGTCCTCCTGCTTGTCTCTGTGCAAACATCTCTTCAGAGGAAACGAACTCTTCAGCAGGAACAGATGAGTTTTCGGTTCAAAGAGAAGATCAAGTCTCAGTCTGCTCTCAGTGAGGAGGAGCAGGTACAGAGCTGCAGTGCATGCTGTGTATCCGTGGTGGTGTTAGTGTAGAGTTCTGTTTGTGTTGTTGTTGTCCATCGTGTCCTCAGGCTGAAGCAGAGTGGCAGCAGTTGTCTTGACCTTGATTCAGGACTGGAAGCTGCAGCAGCTCTGCAGGCTGCAACCATGTGATGCGTCTGCAGATCAATACCAGAGTGTCCTCACATGAATACTTTCTATTGAAGAGAGAAGAGCTGACTTCAGATCAGCCTGCAGCTCTAACCCCCATCTGCTGACTCCACTGAACTTTACCATCCTCCTTTATTAATACTTTATTAAACTAAGAGCGTCTAACGGCTGCAGGTCTGCGTCACAGCGGCCTGAAGGCTCCTGACAGCACCGATGCAGCGTGTTTTACTTTGTTCTGAGAGAGTTTGAATTCTGCTTTCTCAGATAATCCCTGTATTAATATTTGTATTGTGTAATTATTACACAATACAAATATTATTAAATTATTATTGTAATTATTATTAGTATTTGTGGAATACTGTGTTCATAAAGTAAAAAAACTCACTGGCTGCCATCAATGTACAGAACGTATCGGATTCTGACAGGAACCTTCACACACGGCCTTCTTATTGGATCCAACGTCTGGATCCTTGGTGGCTGAATCATTCCCATGATTCATTGCACACCAATGAATCATAGGAAAGGTTTGGAATTTCTCTGAAGAAGAAAATATGGCGCCCCCAAACAGAACGGCTTCTCTGTCGGTGTTGGGTTCTAATGAAATGTCTCTCTGTCTGATCCCAGTGTCTGCAGATGTACACAGGTGGAGTGAGCTCATTGGCCGAGCAGGTGGCTAATCGCATTCAGAGTCAGGGGGAAGTGAATCTGGTAAGTATCTGATTGATCTGAAAATATTTACAACCTGATCTGTGTTTGGTGAAATGTCTGTGAAGATCCAGCTCAGAGCTCGGTTTCTTTTTAGGACGTTTCAGGAAGTGATTTCAAATCTGCGACTGATTCTACAAATACT